CGAATGGACAGTTGAGGGTTTTCTTGAATAAAGGATTGAATCAAATCCAAGCTGTCATCAGGGCTTTGGTCATCAATCAATAAAATTTCAATAGGGGAGTAAGTTTGAGATTTCACAGATTCTAAACACCGAATAATGTATTTTTCGCAGTTGTAAATCGGAATGGATATGGTAACCAAAGGTTTCATTAGATTGCCTTAAAGTTAATGCCGACGCTGTTTTCTCCGATGTCTGCGGCATCGAAGAAAACAGCGTAAAGGCTTTTGGGGCAAAGCCCCAAAAGTCCTTCAGCCTCCCTTTTCAAAAATCCGTGAGGATTTTTGAAAAGGGAGGCACCGCTAAAAAAAGATGGTTCAGAAGAATTAAATATCATTTTAAATCTTATAGAATGCTCTATACCAATCGACAAATTGTCCAATGCCATATTCTATGCTGGTATTGGGCTGGTAATTTAAATCCCGCACCAAATCGTCCACATTGGCCACGGTAGAAGGCACATCGCCTGCTTGTAAGGGTAAAAATTCTTTTTTGGCCACTTTGCCCAGCTTTTTTTCTAGAGTTTCGATAAAATCCATCAACAAAACGGGGCTATTGTTGCCAATGTTATAAATTTGATAGGGGGCTTTGGACTGGCTAGGGTCTGGATTTTTGCCGTCCCAAAGCGGATTGCCCTTGGGAGGATGGTCATTGACCCGAACCACGCCTTCAATAATGTCATCAATATAGGTAAAGTCCCGTTGCATCTGGCCATGGTTAAAGACTTGAATGGGCTGGTTTTCTATAATGGCTTTGGTAAATAGGAATAAGGCCATGTCGGGACGTCCCCATGGCCCGTAAACGGTAAAAAACCGAAGTCCTGTGGTGGGGATATGATACAAATGGCTGTAGGTGTGCGCCATCAATTCATTGCTTTTTTTGGTGGCCGCATATAGACTAATGGGATGGTCTACATTGTGTGAAGTGCTAAAAGGTTGGGTTTCATTTAATCCATATACACTACTGCTGCTGGCGTAGCTTAAATGTTGGATGCCATAATGCCGACAATTCTCCAAAATATTGATGAACCCAACAATGTTAGAATCGATATAAGCATACGGGT